TAGCATGCTGACTTTAGCATTTAGTTTAGTTTAGAGCACTGCTTTGCCTGAGTGCTGCTTCAGAGACCAGGGCTTCCCAGGCCGTGGAGGGATTGCAAATCAGAATAACTGATCATCTAAGATTAACTGGCTAGGGTGGTGAGATTGCTTGCTCACCATCCAGAATTTGACTCTGGTTTTACATTGCTCTCAATGTACAAACACAGACTAAGCATAAACAACAGCAAAATAGACATAGACTACTATATACAGTTATACATATATATACAGAAACAAAAATAATAACACCTGTAGTCAGTAGACAATAGTGCAATGGTGCAGAGTACAAGGGAAGCTGAAATAAATATTTTACTTGCAGGTTTCTTTATGTGCATGAGGTAGGTGGATATGACAGTAGATACAGTATGCACAGCATTGATAGATGTATTTGAATGATTGTATTTTTGTTTTCAAAAAGTTCCGACAATGGATATATAATCTATAATTCATCATATTTCTTGCATCATACATTTTTGATTTTCATCTCTGAGTTCACATTTGACTGTTTTCATGTTGCCAAAGTCAACACATTAGACAGATTACTGAAGATCAGTCTAGATTAAGTGTTAATTATCCCTGTAGAGAAATCAAAGAAGCAAAAATAGGATATGGGACATAAAAACAGAGAAAGACTAATACCAAGACTGTTTAGTTTCAACCAGCTGAATAGCCTTTCAGAGTCTGAACTCATCTGGAACTAAGATGTCAGGCCCTGCCCGGATCTGGCTGTCTCAGCCTTCCGCTCTCTTCTGAGGTTGGTCCATCAGCCAAAACCAATTAGCAATGTGAGCCCAAACACAGACTCTAAAGCAGGTAGAGAGTGGATGGAGTCGCCCCTGGAGAACAGTGGTTGCTGTAGAAAGTCAGGCATAGAAGTGGGAAAATAACCTGCCACAGAAATGTCATAGTCAATGCAAACCGAGTTGAAATGTACATGTACTCTGCCTGCCTTTCATATTGTGTTTGTGTATTTGTTCAGCTTTTTCAAAATATACCCAAAGATGCATTAAATATATACATAACAATCAAACAAGCATAATTATAAAAAATCGAATTAAGTAAAAAGTAAAACATATTGATCACATAAACCATATCTAACTACATAAACTGCAATATTACAGATTATTATATTATCTTAGATTACTAAAACTGTATATGCTGTCATAACATGTTCTTTGCAAAAAGGGTTGGAATCGTCCATTTCCTCTTTGGAACTTTTCCATTTGTTTGTTTGTTGACCTTTTTCCATTATTATTGTGTTTGTGGAACAGTCATTCAGTTTTTAATAAATATACTGTAGCCACTGCTGATTGGTCAGTAATTGACAAATGTGGTCATTGCAAGCCATGTACACACAAAGCCAAGAAATCTAGGTAATGGTGAGTGGACATTGCCTCCTAGTTGTGAAGCCCATCAGTGGAAAGAAACAGGAAAAGAGAGAGGAGGAAGAGAAACAGTGAGAAAATAGAGAAGATTAGTGTCAAAGTATGTGCTATGAATTAATAAACATTAATATGTTTATTGATTGAAGCATTTTTGTATGTATTATGTTTTTCCAGATACATCCAGATGCCCAGGCCATTCTGTTTCGAACCCAGTAATCGATACGTGGTTGCAATCAGGTTCCAGCGCCATGGGGTCTTGCACCGACATCTTACAGCCTTCATTCTTATTGACTCGGTGAGCTAAGACTTGTGACCCTCATTATCTATCTCCAAATATGGTTGAACCAAGTATGTTTGAAAGGTAGCAGTATTCTTAGACTATGATTAAAAAAGCTAAAAAGCAACAACACTGAATAATGACCAACTGATTTCAGGGAAAGTGATCATACCACAAGGTTTCCCTCTAGTGGTGGGAAATTACAAATGCAAATGTTGAATTTATCTAGGCATGGACTAAGCTTTTAAATATGTTGATTCACATTTCTTTAAAGCACCTTTAAAAAAATTTAACCTAAATCAGATGAAAAAAACTTTGTCATATGTCTGGACTTTTATGTGCCTTCAATAGCTGGTTCTGATCCCCAAATACACCGAGCTTCCTGGTTTCCAAGGTAATGAGCCAGAGGCAGAGCAGCGGCGGGAGGAGATGATTCGCTACATGTGTCTGGATTCCTTTATGATGACGCCGATGCCCGCCCTAGCTGAGATGTGCTCCAAACTCATCTGCAGTATTTCTTCCATCATTCATGATGGTGCTCTGTGTAAGTACACAAAATCAACGCACAAAACGAGCACAGATTTAGAACTTTTTAAACAGCAATAACTGTCTGATGTTTTCTTTGCTGTCTTTTACCTGTATCTATTGTATCCAGCGTGTCATTGCGACCCTCAGGGCTCCCTCAGTGGTGAGTGTGATAGGGTGGGAGGTCAGTGTCACTGTAAATCCAACGTGATGGGTCGACGCTGTGACCAGTGTGCTCCAGGAACCTACGGCTTTGGAGTGAATGGCTGTGCAGGTGAGTCTGTTCTGAGTCTGTCACATGACCTTTACCTAACACCACCTGTCCCACAAGGTAAACCAAAGATAAATAAAAATGTTGTTGCTGTCACCCTTTGTTGATGTCTCAAAAGATGTAAACTGATTACATAACTCTTATTTTAATGTAGTACACACCATGTCTGCCTTCCAATAAATAGCTGAGTGGTATTATCACCTCCCACTCAGATGGGTCACTTGTCTAACTAGTACACTTGTTCAAGCTCTGTAGTGGGTAGTTGTATTATCTGAAAACCTACAGATGAGTAGGCTATTGTAAATTTAACAGGAAGCCTAATGTAAGGTATTAATGTGAGGATTAATTAAGTACATGTATATTAAGTAGCGATATCACTCATTCTGGGTAGAAGAGTACCAATGATGTTCTGGGCAGAGATGATGAAAAAGACCTTGAACACATAAAGAAAAAATCACTACATTCAATTCACCTTATGTTTTGTTCCTGATACCAGTTAGAACCAATAGAATTAGACTGAATAACCCTTTAAATACCTCCTCCCACCCAGCCTGTGACTGCCACTCAGAGGGCTCAGTGAGCCACCAGTGTGACCCAGTTACAGGCCAGTGCCAGTGCAGGCAGGGAGCCACCGGGCGCCAGTGTTCAGATTGCCAACCAGGCCAGTGGGGCTTCCCCAACTGCAGCCCCTGTCAGTGTAATGGCCACGCAGACATATGTGACCCCCGCACCGGGGTGTGTAGAGACTGCAGGGACTACACAGCAGGACACCACTGCGAACAGTAAGGATCACTCTGTGTCGGTATGTACTTAACTTCGTCCCTGGTTGTCAGACTGAGGGTTAATGTCTCCCTCATTTGTCCCAGTTGTGTGGATGGGTTCTTTGGAAACCCGGTCCTTGGTTTAGGGGAGCACTGCCGGCCCTGCCCCTGCCCCGGTAACCCCGGCTCGGATCACTTTAACGGCCACTCCTGTCAAGCCGACCTCTCCTCTAACCAGATCATCTGCAACTGCAGAGAAGGCTACACTGGTGAGCTATCACACTGCAGTAACACAGTTCTACTGATATTTATTGATAATTTTTTACTCTTCAAGATCGATTGGACACTATAGTACAAAATCATAGAGACTGGCTGATTCTGCATGAATTAAGTATTAAATACCTAACTCTCCACTGAAGTCTTGAAAGCAAGTTTTAAAGCTTACTGTCATATTCTCCCTTTTCTCCCCCAGGGCCCCGCTGTGACCAGTGTTCCCCTGGTTACTATGGCAACCCAGAACAACCCGGAGGGCAGTGCCTGCCATGCGAGTGCAGCGGCAACATTAACGCCCAGGATCCTGAGTCATGTGACATCAGGACCGGCCAATGCCTCAAGTGCCTGTACCATACCGATGGCCCGTCCTGTGCCCACTGTCAACACGGTTACTACGGCAACGCTTTGGCCCATGACTGCAGACGTGAGTGATGACAACAGATATTAGTACATTTATTTTTTTTTTTAGGTCTGAACCAGTAACAAATCTTTATGTATTATTACATATATTTTATTCCTTGTAAGTTGCCTTGAATATGAGCAACTGTACACTATGATTTACCACTAACTTGTTCCTAAGCTTTGAAGTTAAGATACATTTTTTATTATTTTCATATTTTAATGGTAATGTGTCGAACCACATGTCTACTCTCTGTACACTTAATATATGTCTCTCTTTTCAGGCTGTACCTGTGTGACTGCTGGCACACTCCAGTCCACTTGCAGTGATGGACAGTGTCACTGCGACAGGCAGACCGGAGCCTGCCGCTGCAGGGAGAACGTGGCTGGCCACAACTGTGACCAGTGTGCTCCTAACCACTGGAACTATGGTCAGGACCGAGGCTGTGAGCCCTGCCACTGCGACCCCCAACACACCATGGGAACCCACTGCAACATGGTAAGGAAGCATGGAGCCTGAAGAATGGATAATGCAACAGTGACCTCAGACAAAGAGTTTATAGGATTGTAAGATTGTGTTTATAAGATATCTCTATTTGTCTGTCTTTCTATCTTTGTCAATCTGTCTCTCTGTGTTCTATAGTTCACGGGCCAATGCCACTGTCATTCAGGCTTCGGAGGAAGACAGTGCACTGAGTGCGAGCAGTTCCACTGGGGAGACCCACGGGTGCAATGTCAAGGTAACTCCCCTTGTGACAAATAGAATATATCTCAATTGTGAACAGGAGTGGTGATACTTTACCTTACGTTACGAGTCATCATCAAATCCTTATTCCTTTAAAAGGGACAGAACACATTGGCTTCCTGTGTGTACACAGTTGTCCTTTGTCTGCATCTACACAGGCGCGTTGAGGCACAGTATTAAGTGTAGGTCACCTGCGTTTTGGCGGCACCCAGAGCCCAACACACAATCACGGTTGTGGCACACGCAAAATGAAAGAAAATAGACTTGAAACCTAAAAATGTGAGTCATTATGTGGCCTGTGCAGACAGCTGAGTTGACTGAAAAAGCAGTGTTTTCCATCAGACGCATGTGATAAGGACATCTGAAAAATCATCATATATGACATCTGATGTAATACATGCTGTGCTTATCAAACAGACAGTCTAGAGTCTCAGTTTACGTGTTTGTTTGTCTGTCAGCAGGATTACAGAAAAAAAAAGTGTAGCATTGGCCAAAGGAAAAACCCATTCATTGGAGCAGGTCTGAATCACAGGGTGGCTACACAAATTACTTTTCACCTTCCTATGGCAAAATGCACTGAATTTGCTGCGCATGCATGAACCTGTAGTCATTAAAGTAATGGTGTGCCTTGACTAAACATACAACCAAACATAATAGTCACCTCAAACATCACTTTAGAAAGACATTCTGCAGATATGTAAGAAATAAGCAACTATAGATGTGATTTCTCAGGATTAATCCTGAATTCCGGATTTTCCAACCTCCTAGTTAAAGTGAATGGTGAGCAGATTCCCATGGTGTGACTGGACTATGTTTCTGTGTTACACTGTGATTTGGTGAAAGCCTTTCTAACTGCTTCTTTAGGACACAAATGGATTATTTTCTTACAGTCTATAGACGTGTTCCAGACCAATGTTAGTGTTTTTTTCGAACGTCTTCTTCTCCTTTATCTTCCCTTCTGTCTCTTCTCTCCCCTCCTCCCTCCTCCCATTCAGAGTGTAACTGTCATCCACTGGGCTCAGAGATGGCCCAGTGTGACCGAGAAACGGGGGCTTGCGAATGCAGGGAGGGAGCGGCGGGGAAGCGCTGCGATGAATGCGCTCGCGGCTTCACCGGCATCTTCCCCACGTGTGTCCAGTGTCACCCGTGCTTCCAGCTGTGGGATGACGCGGTGTGCCAGGTTAAAAGGGACCTGGATCACATCCAGTACACCGTGCAGAAGATCCTGGAGAGCGGCGTTCCAACGGGAGACGGGGACAAGCGCTTTAAAGAGCTGGAGAAAAAGCTGAAACAGGTTCAGGATCTGATCAGCGCGGAGGACAGCGACAGGATCCACCAGCTGATTGGACAGAGCATCGATGACCTCAGGTGATGATGCCACATGTTTATTGAGGTTGGCTTGGATCATTTGTCACTATATTCTCTTAAATACGCTGCTCTCTGTGTTCCAGGGCTGAGATCGCCCTGACTGACGGGCGTCTGATGGCTGTTGCCAGAGAACTAAATACAACAGCAGAAGAAGAAGAGGCACTGAGACACACGCTGAGTGGCCTAGAGAAAGAGCTGAGGGACATCAACGCCACTGTAGCTCACAAGCAGCGCCTGCTGATTGAATACCTCACCTCAGGATTTGCAGGTAAGTGAAGTTTTTTAGATCTGTAAACGCGGCATAAGCAGACATTAATCAATACAATATGTGTGATACAAAATGACTGCGAATGAAAATGAGACTGAAAAGTCCTAAACTTTTAAAAGCTGCTCCTGTTTCCTCACAGATCAGTTTGAGAAAGTGAAGAAGAACTACCGGTTGTCACTGGAGGCTGAGAAGAAATGCAACTTGACAGTGTCCGGTCCTCTCAGTCCTGTGGGACAGTCCAAAGAAACCCGCAATCGCACTGAAGTCCTGCTGAATGACAGTAGAGACAAGTTCCTCCGTGCTGTGGCTGTTCAGAACAAAACCTTAGACGAGCTGCAGCAAAAGGCCCACAACCTAGATAAGAAAGTCCACCACCTCAGTCACAAGGTGTGTGGTGTTGGAGGTTTCATTCATTGATCCATGTGATTGTCTGCCTGAATGTGTACACTAATCATCTTGTGTTGAAAATGTTCCCTAAAAACCTAATTTATCAATTTGCATCCATTCATTCAAATATTCACTGAATCTGATACAACAAACACTACAAACACACTCTATTATTTAGTGTGACATGCTTGTGTTCAACAGTGACATCTAGTGGCCAAACGTTGTCAAAGCAGTTCAATTAATGGATTGTACGATGTATAGTCTCTCATGCCTAAAAACCCTGGTACCGATCTTCCTCTTCCTCTCGGTGGTTGAGGGGGTCAAATGAAAAAAGAAAAGTCTGACCTAATTATTTAAGCTACACAACATGAAACTGCGATGATGTTTAAGAAGGAAGTAAAGTAAATAAATGTCACTGCTTTACATACAAACATCACTCAGCTGATTTCAGGCTATCTATTGTTGATTCAGTATCATTACAGTTGCTTACAAGTCAGGAGATTTTCAGGTGGGTCTAATAACGCATATATGATCGTTACTGGTGAATCACTTGTAGTACTGCACTGTGGTGATAAAGCGCGTCTTTCTTGTTTATTAGATTAACCACTTTGAGAAGATAACAGGAAAAATCCCATTTGTCATTTTCCCTTTTCAAAGCCCACTAGATTATCGACACATTAAGTTAAATAATTAAATAATGGTATTCATTAAAAAAAGAAAAAAATGCTGTTTGACTAATCAATGATATGATTAATATGGACAAATTTTAACAGCATAAAAAATTCTACTAAGGCTAAATTTAACAAATTCTTATCTAATAGTCTGATTTGACTTTATAGAATTATGCGTGAAGTATTAAAGCCCTGGATTGCAATGGAAAAAAGATGAAAGCTTCAATCTATTTTTTATTTTCTTATTCTAATCACTTCATGTGAGTGATAACGCATCGTTGCTCCCTGCAGGTATGTGGCGGTCATAGCAATGCCAGTTCCAACGGCAGCTGCCCCAACAGCCGATGTGGTGGTGCAGGTTGCCGTGACGATCAGGGCAATCGTGTATGTGGAGGGGAAGGATGCAACGGGACAGTAAGCTCTTCTTTAGCGGCTCTGAATCTTGCCAAGAATGTCACAGACAGTCTGAAAGCTGCCAATGAGGAGCTGCAGAGTGTGGCGAGAAAGGTGCTTAAATACTATCATTTTGATTGAATATAATGCCACGACTGGAGTATAAAGTTTCTCTGTTGACTTGATGTGTTGGTTTCCTGTGTGCAGTTCCAGGATATAGCCTCTGTGACACAGGATGTAAAGAACCAGGCGATGAAAATGCTGGAGAGAGCCCAGAAGAACAAGGACAACTTTGTCAACAATAACAGGAAGCTGAAAGATTTCATTAAGAAGATCAAAGACTTTCTCACTGGTATGTTGATGTTGCTTTAATCATTGCTTTGAATGAAGCAAATTATCATTGAAGATTATGCTCCTCCCTGTATGTTAAAGCGTCCTTGAGTTAGTTTCTGTATGATGGGCTTTGCCATCACTGTGTGAAAGGGTGAACGTGGCATATAGTGTTAAAGCATTTGAGTGGTTGGAGGACTAGAAAGGTTATACAAGTACAGTCCGTTTACCATTTCTGTGTTCCTCTCCTTCATCCATTTTGCTGTCCAGAGGAGGGAGCGGATCCAGAGAGCATAGAGAAGGTGGCTCTGCAGGTTTTGTCGATCACCCTGCCGATCAACAGGACCACTCTGGACAAAATGATCATGCAGATAAAGGGCAGCTTTTCCAACCTCACAAACATCGAGGGGATTATCAACCAAACCTCGCAGCACATCAGCAAAGCCAAGGAGCTGCTCCGCAAGGCTAACGATGCCAAGTAAGAAACAAACTGAAGACCACATTTCCCATGAGCCATCTTGCTTGCTGCCAGCGGTGCCTTCCAAACAAATAAAGGGAAGCCACAAATCCACTGCTTTATGTACAGTAGGTTGTATAGGCTTCCTCCACACAGTCTCAATGTCAGAGCACACACAAGCTGGTGATCACGTGATGAACACTTCTCGTGTATGTTGAGTTAAACCCTTTTCCCTACGCTCACTGTTGTGTTTATTATAGACTGAAATGTCCATTAGAAATACTACAAAGGTTGGACTGTTATATCAGCCATTATGGTTCAGTTACCAGCCCAGATCCATGATTGTAGAAGATACTATTAATCAGGGTTCAGTCTTGATTGAATCCACATTAAAAGTACAGCTTGCACCAGGCCAACATGACACATGCGCAGACAAAATAAATTTTTCTCTCAATCGACTAACTAACTAAACTAAATCTCAGACATTCATACTGCAAAACCTGGGAAAATAAAAGCAAATGTTGCTGGTTAGCTGACCTCCACTACCAGCATTGCACATAATGACGACTCTCCAAACTCCAAAAGTGGGGGGGAGTAAATCATTTAATTATTTTGTCTATAAAATAGTGAAAAATGTCTGTCTCAATTTTTTCAAAGTCAAAAGGTAATGGCAAATGTCTTATTTGTCAGTCCAAAAACCAAAGATATTCAGTTTAATAAGGTATAAAACAGAAGCTAAAGACAGCATTTTATGCCATTTCTGCATGAAAATGTAATTTAACAATTAAAGCTGCCTTAGGTAGTAACTTTTATAAAAACAACTTTTTTGTCATATTTGTTGAAACTTTCACTATATTCTGACAGTAGTACATGAGATAGATAATCTGTGTCTGATTGAGTCTCATTTCCAGGTCCCAAAGCATCTGTATTTGAGATGGGAATGAGACTCAACAATCCACTAACCCCCAAAAGTGGGGGGAGTAAAATGCTTCAACAGATCTGTCACTAGTCTCACCAGATAGCAGCAACAAGCACAAATGCTTGTTGACGCACAGCAGCATCCAAGGATTCAAGGTTTTTTTATTACCATTTACAATGCAGTGTTGGAATTAAATGAACATATAGTGATAATTTATAGTTCCATATAGTATGTCATAAAAAAAAATACTATTTGTATGAATTGTTAAGGAAGAATGTAACAGTCTCGCAGCCTGAGGGAAGAAGCTGTCTTTAAGTCTGGTGGTATGGCAGCAGAAGCTTCTGCAGCAGGGTGAACAGGCTGTGGCTGGGTGGGTGCTGACTTTTAGTATCCTTTAGGCTCTGCAGCGCCTCACCTCACCAGTATCACTGATGCTGGGCAGCTGAGTACCAATGATCTTCTGGGTGGTTTTAATCACCCGCTGCAGTGTCCTCCTGTTCTGGGCCGTGCACATCCCATGGTACCAGTTTGCACTCATTACTGAGGAGTTCTGTCTACTTTCTGATGGCGTTTTGCAGGAGCCGAGCAGAGGGAGTGAAGGATACAGCCAATAACACCAAGCAGGCATTGGATGTGTCTGAGAAGGCCATAGAGAAAGCAAGAGCAGCCCTGAATGAGGCCCACAACAACCTGAACAGCACTAGGAATGCAACAGCTGAGGTGCAGCATGCTTGAAAGCTGTGTGTTTGTGTGATAGCTTGCTTGCCGTAATGTTTTAAAATTGCTTACTTCCACGTTCCTGGTGAGTGGACCACCTGCCTGTAGAGCACTTTATTTAAGGGCTCTTTTTCTTTCTAAATCTCACGCATCTCTCCATCTGCTCACATAATTATTAACTTTTTATCTGTCATTATCTTCAAGGTGGATGACAGGCTAAGGCAGCTGGAGGATAAGCAGATGGATGTCATGATGCGTTTAAGCAACCTCTCCATGGGAGTGGAAGCTCTGAGGAACAAGACGGAGCAGAACAGAGAAATGGCAAAGGACGCCAAAGCACTGGCTAACAACGCCACACACCTAGCATCCTCGCTGGAGCAGGTGAGCTGCAAGTTGTGTTTGTGCTTTTGGTTTGAAGAAATATGTTTTTGTTCCAAAATGTACAAAGGAAAGCAAATATTGGTGAGAATAAATAAAGTGAAAGCATAACTGACAATACTGGGTAATTTCCCAGAGCCTCAACGACACAGAGAAACGGTACCGGGAGCTGCAGATGAAGGTGGAATCTCTGGATGGGGAGACTGGAGGTCTGAACAGCATCAACCAGAAGGCCAAGGATATGAAGAAGGAGGCAGAAGACCTCCTCAACAAAGCCAGCAAGGGGCTAGAACAACTCAGGAGTGAGTACTCGAAGCTGCTCTTAGTGCTGACAGTCTGTTCATTATCTGGGCTACGTGGAGTACACTGTGGGGTCTGATGATACAGATTATTCCTGCAGTTCAGTTTAGATATGACAGAGAGGTCTCTGATCTCCTCCTGCATCACAAACCTAGATATTGTCAGACTCATACAGGGATATTAAAACCAAGCTTATGTTCTTTATCATATCCTGAACATGATTAAAACAAGGATGGGTCAAAGGGACTAGTGTGCATGTAAAGCTTTACTTACAAAAGATGTTGCCCCATTAAAATCATCTTCAGGGTTTCTTCTTATAGCTTATATATATATATACAATATATTTGTTATATCTGAACAAGTTTATTTGAAGTGTATTGGGATGTTGCTAATGCATTATAAAAACTTAATTAACACTTTTATTACACTCTACTCATAATACAAAAGGAAATGTACTTTGATTTAATATTAAATGTAACACCACTGGCTCATTGTATCATACTGGTCCATCGAAATTAAAACATATAGCACAACTCCAGTACACCAAACATTTTTGGTTATATTGCCTTCAGCAGGGTTGTGTTTGGCCCTGTTTACACCTGGCATTAATGTGTCTTGGGTGATCCAATCACAAGTGGACAGCTTTAAATACATCAGCTCACGCATGGCGTCTCGAGTGACCACTTAGGATCGGACCTTACGCCCTATATGCACATAAACACTATAGGGCTGTACCCTTCTCAGGGTAGGGTGTCCATTATTGGCCTTTTGGCTGTTCAGTAGGAATATTTCACTTCAGTAGCGCATGAAAGTTGCATGTTGTTAGAGAGACATGCTGTGGTGCACTGTGGGATTTTATAACTGAACGTTATAAGCAGGACACACACTTTTACTGTCTCTGACTGTGTGGAAATTATCGAAGAGCGAAGAAAGGCATTAATGCCAGAGAAAGTAAAAGTGTGCGTCCTATTTGCACCACAAAGTGACAACTCCAGACAACACACTTGGACAAACAGACACAGCGTTTTTTACATAACGAAATAATGTATAATGTTTGCACAATTTAGAAGATGGCCAAAATAATGAAGAATTTGTTGTTTAGCAAAGTTTATAAAGTTTCTTCTCACTCAGCAACTCTCAAAGTTGTACTGGGGCTATTACCTGTTCATCAGTTTAAACAGTGTGTTCACAAACACCTGCTGCTTATCTTGGCAGGTAACAGAGCCCAAGCACATGATTTTCATTACAGTGAAATAAACATGTGTCTCATGTGTGGTTTGAGCGGGCATTCCTTTAATGTGTCCCAGGACACATTTGTGTACACACTGCTCAAAGAATGTGGTCAACCTCCGAATTTAGAGGTGTCCACTTGTGATCGGATCACCCAAGATGCATGTTAATAGCAGGTCTAAACAGGGCTTTTATCTCTTACAAGAATCAACCTTGCTGGTATTCAGCTGTAGCGATTGCCCTGCTGTCACCCGTGTTGACATTGTTGCTGTCTGTCCCTGTGGTTGCAGAACTGGAGAAAAAGTTCAAGAGTAATGAGCAGCGGATGCAGAAGCAGCGCATGGAGCTGGATGAGCTGAAGGAAAACGCTACCGTGGTGCGGGACGAGATCCGGACACAAGTGCAGAAGTACAGTAACTGTGTGTGAGGATGTTACGGTTCTGTGTTTACTATTTGCTGCTGTAGTTTGTCACTGGGACAGAAAATCTACATCACCAAGCAAAATAAAGCGCTGCTGCGGTACCTTCATTCTGTCACTGGTATAGTTTCGAGTTTAGACCTTTTTCACAGCAGCCATTTCGACATAAAATAGTAGGGTAATCACAGATGTTACCAATGTTTAGTGTAGCAGAGCCTTTCCAAGGAGCCAGAGTGCACAATAGCAGCACCCTGACTCTGTTTGACGTGAATGGAACGGAGCCTTAATTAGTATCATTGGTAACACCTGTGTTTAACCTAGTATTTCATGTTAAAATGGCTGCTGTGAAAAAGGTCCATACCTGTCAAGTGTTGTATCACAAAAATGCCTTCCTCTGTCCATGTACTGTACCACTTTTTGACTCCCAGATATCAACACTACCCTGTACAGTGTTTATGTCTTTAAGCTATTACAACAAGTGGATGACCTGTCGAGACTATTTGTTTCATTTGATTTCGTAAATAATAAACAGAAGAAATATTATCAGAGTATGTTATCAGAAATGTGTTATTTTCACCAAAAGTGCGTTTAAGGTTTTGTTTGTTTCTGTTGTAATTTAACCACATTAGTATGGTATTTACAAAATGACACTCCTATTAAGACATATGTGGAAAAGTGTGATTTCTGAACTTAAATTTTGTGTTTTGTGATTCAATACATATGGACACAAGTACTCCTATAAGCAAAATTCATTCTGAGGTGTGATGGTGGAGACAAATAAATTTGATACAGTTTATATAAATTGATCACATTTTGTGTCCTGTTTGTGTGTGAATGTGTGCACAGTATTTACAATATTAAGTGTGTGTTGTGTATATTACACATTTGCTACAGTAGAATGTGTTCAGTTCTTTATCACAAGGGGGCACCGTACACTTGTCTCTGCTCTCTTCACCTCTGATTCAGCTGCTAGATGCTACCTCCTCTTTTCACACACACGCATTGTGACATGTTAAAGCTGGTGTAATTATTAACATTAATGGCAACTGCATTCCATTTATGTGAGCCAGTTCCAGGGTACTGGTATTGTGCATGCTCACTCACTAGCTTGTAGAACAGAGCCTTCATTAACGTTATTAGTTACAGCTGTGTATTTCCTGCTCTGACAAGTAAAAATGTGTGCTTTGAAAAAAGGCCCATTAGAAGGCTGTAACAACCCCACACTGGTATTTTACTATTTACTTTACTTATTAGACTTCTCCAGACTGTGTGGGCATGTCCAGACTGCTTGATTGGCATTTTCATGACTCTCCTGTTAATTCAAAGTAAAAAGCGGCTCTCATTAACACTTTTATATTAACAGTGGATTAAAGCGCTACTTGTATGTGAAAGATGTCACCCATAGTATAAACCATAGAGAACTAGAGACTGTCTTGCAATGTGATCACACCAGCCTCAATGCCCATCAATATGTTGACTACAGCATGACCACTCATGTCATACTGACGCGTGTGTCCAACCATCCCCATATTCGAACTCAGCTTTCATTTTGATCTCAACTACACACCTGTTGAGTTTAGTGACTGCATCTTTTGTGACCTGCACTGACATAATCTTTCCACAGACATATAAACATCTGCCAATGTACTAAAAATGGCCTCCAGGAGCACATTTTGTCAAAAAACAGAGCTAAAAGAGTCAGGTGATCAGAAACACGACTCCTTATAAATTCTATTGTTCCGTAACTGTTGGATGTGTGAAAGCAACTGTTTGCTAACAAGTTTGCCATGTAAAATTAACATATAGGGGAGCTATTGTCAGAAATGGAATATAATATTCATATGTATGTTTTTATTAATGTACAATCACCTGAAAACAATTGTTGTGTTTTTGTTACCTTGGAATGAGATGTTTTATCTATAGAAGAAGCAAGTCCTCTTCTACTTCTACTAGTTAGTTGTTGCAGGTTTAGCTACTTACAGATGGGTAGTTCAGTTGAGTGGCAGTAAATCTGAGGGGGATTCATTGGGTAGAGGAGAGGAGAAAACAGAAGTTCTGCTGCACAGATTTGTATTCATGTTTTTCCCATTGGGCACCACTGCTTTAATCTTTCACAGTATGTTGTACTTTATAAGCTTATTGTTACGTGTCATTCTGTATCCTGTTATTGTTTTGCCCGTGTGTGTCTGCTCTATGTCTTTGTGTTCTAGGTGCAGCTCACTGATCACTGATAGAGGGTACCTGTGGGCTGAGGTTATCTAAGCGGCTCCTTACTCTGCCCACACTCTCTTTCAAGTGACACAAGCCCCAGCTCTATGTTTGTTCTCTAAATTTAACTATTTTGTCTTTTTGTAAATAAATGACACTATTTTACATCTATCTGGTGTTGTTTCCCTCCTTATGTTGTGGCTTTTGAACTGGTCACAACATAATGGGGGCTCGTCCGGCAGAGAACATACGTGCATATGTGTTTAGTTCCGTCGAGTGTAGTGGTCACCATAATTATGATGTGTTTTTATGTAAAAGCTTAATCTGCAAAGTTACTATGGCTGTCAAATGTAGAGGAATATTTATATCCAAAATATACTGGAGTAAAAGTATAAGGTAACATGAAATGGAGATACTTATGTACAAGTTCCTCTAAACTGTACGTAAGGAATACTTTAGTAAATGTAGTTTGTTACTTTCCACCACTGCTTCCACTATTGCTTCCACTATTATCTTTCTTTTTTGGGGGGAGTAGGGATGTTGGGGGCATTTTGCCTTTATTAGATAGGACATATGAAGACTGACAGGAAACAGAGAAGAGAGAGAGGATGACACGCAGCAAAGGGCCACAGGTCGGATTTGAACCCATTGGTGTTGCAGCAAGGACTCAGCCTTAGGTAGATGGGGGACCAGCTCTGTCAGGTGAGCTACCAGGACACCTCACCTTTATCATTCTAATTTGTATGTCAGTGACCCCAGTGTTGCTCAGCCACACTTCAACCTGAGAGGTCAAATCACAAAAACAATTGGGTGGATGTACAGGGTTCCTATTAACCTGTAGTCTACCAGAGATTAATTCACTCTACTGCCATTCACTCCCCTCTTGGTCTTAGTATGAAGGAGCTCTGCTATTCTCTGCTGGGTTCTGGCACTGGATCCTGAGCGCTAACAAAGAGAGGCTGTCCTCCAGCCACACAGGGAATGTGTAATATGGCAGAGATTTACAGCAGGCTTTGTTCAGGAGGACACCTGTACACATCAGACAAACTGTATCGTAGAGTAAACCCAAAGAAAGAATTGATATGATCAAATGTACTTGTAAAATGTGACAGGTTGCATTTCATATATTTATTCAAAAGATTAATTAATTGATTAGAAGCTACGTGAAGGTTTCCCCCCCTGAAAATAGAGTTGACCTTTGTATCCCACTGCACGACTCTACTGTAATGGGAATGGTCCCAGACACCTGTTGGATGAGGCTGATGTTTTGAGGCTGATGTTTTGAGGTTGAGCAGTCAGCCAGGAGATCTGGGATCTGTGCGCGCTCATTGGGTGCAATCAAAGGGAATCTAATCCGTCCAGCAGGGAGCGCGCATTCCTGCTCCCAGACACAGACGGAGAGGGGCTTACAGGAAAACATGCGCTGGGTTTGTAGAGGAAAACCTGCGGAGGAATAAACTTTTTCAAATCAAAAATCCAAATTACTCGCTAAAATCTTATTTCTGGCCACTTGTAGGAGACAAAATGTTTGTGTTTATCATGCAGCATTGTTTTTTTTTTGTTTTTTTTTTACATCTTTATAAAATATATTACATGAGAAAATTGTGATGATGTACCTCATCATCACAATTTTCTCTTTTCAATTCTCTTTTCATGTAATATATTTAGATATATTCTTTAAGACATATGCCTGTAAGTCCATATAGCCATATCATAGCCTGCTTTATGTTTACTCAGTTTCATGATCACATCGTTTTTTCTGCAGGGTGCATCAGCTTTACAGGAGTTAAGTACAGGAAAATAACTTCCCCTATGTATGATAATCATTTGATGTGTACCATCTTGTCTGCAGCTAGGTTCCTCTCAGAGAACAAAATTTGCTTGAACTTGAACCTAAAAAAAACACAAAGGTTCCTTGAAGTTTTCATAACAAGCTATTTTCTGGTGGCTCCCTTTCAGCAGGTCAGTGTGGGATCCATGAAAACCAGTTGGTTGTCCATTAATAGTTGCAGCCTATTGCAGTTTTTACAAAAAAGTTAATATTGCTATGAAATTGGCATATCAGTATGACCCTTTTGGCCATTTCTATGATAGAAATCACTCAAACTTTTTTTTTTTGTAAATAGGTAATATTTTTTGTTTTTACCTCACCCCTCATCCGCCCACGCGGGGATTCGAACCGAGAACCACCCTGTTCACCCCCCGCCCCCCCCGCTCCGCTCCGAGAGTCCAGTCCGGGGTTTCCAGCTCCGAGTCGCAGGAGTTGAGGACTCTTCATCGCAGTACGCCGCTCAGCACCGCATCTGTCCGGTAACTCCGCAGCAAGTGGACCGAAGGGGAGAACAGACTCGTAAAAAGAAGCAAACATCCGAAACAGTGAGTTCAGTCTCTTTTTGGGATTCCCTAACGAACTTTTTGAGGGATAACGACACCAGAGAGGTGAACACAGTGGGCAGTTGTAAACATTTAGTCTGAAAGAAGTCCTATCAGAGAGGAGGGATGTTGTTTAATTGACCGGTGCACATTTCTGTATCGTGGACAGTGACAGTGAATTAAAAAAAATCTCAAGTGTCCCCGACCCATGTCCCCGACCTCCAAATAAAAGACAAACTTTGCAACATTTCCATTAACTCTCGGTGCTTGGTTCATGTCTTTGCTGTTTATCACGCTGTTCTCTTTACGCCACAGGTCGCGTGCAGCAGCCTCGCGGGTTTGATGTGCGCGCGGAGATGCAAGCCTCGCTGCTAATGCTCGTCTGCGGTAAGTAGACTGTAAAAGTCAACCCGTGTTTTCTGCTCCATAACAAATCCTCAGAAGTGACTCAGTGAGCGGGTGTGAAGGCGGGCTCCGGGTCGCAGGGCTTTCTTTGATTAGTCTCTGGAAAATATGGAGCTTATGTGTTCATGTGAACTCTATGGATGCTGAAGGCTTATTTCACTTGAAACGAGCAAAAAGGTCACAGAGGTGAGGGATTTTCTTGGTTTCACGAGTCCGACACTTGATCCAGAGGGTCTCTGCTAAGTGAGAATGCTTTGAATTGTTTTTATTTTTTATCTCAGCTCACTGGTTGAATGTGTACTTGTTTTCAAGGTAAAAACTGTTTTAATACATGATAAAAGGCTACTTTAGGCTTTAAGAGGAGGATGCAGTTGCAGTGAAATAATATATTTACCTTCATTACCTCAGCAAATCATCACTGAATTCGCCATTTGTTTTTCCCATACAAAACTGCACTTACATTTGCATGTATTTAACTCCTACATAGTGAAGAAAGTGGCAAATTTTCAAGTCAAAGCTGAGGCCGAAAGAACATTCATAAAATATATTTACTGAACTAAGCTCTTCATTAGTCACATTAACTTCCAGAGCAGTAACATGTTCTCTGTCAACATACAGTAGCCTGCAGACACCAGTTTAACACAGTGCAGAAAAGTGTCGGCCCGCATCTCTGCACAGAGATAAGATAGCTGGAGTTTCTTTTTTAGGGCCCCTGGTGCCCTCCGGGTCTCTGGGGTTGTGACTGTCTCTCTCTGTCTGTCAGTCTCTCTCTGTGGGTGGTGTCACTCTGTTTATGGTCCTCTTAAAACAGCCCAGCTGAATCCGCAAATAGAGACACCCACTCCACACCCACATCTCCAGCACTGCTCGAGACCCTTAAGGATGCGAGTGTGTCCAGTGCAATGTATCTGTATCTGTTTGTGTATGTGTGTGTGTG